TTTTTTTTTTTTTTAACTTAAAATATAAAAATCTAAGATGTTTTAAACTAAAATGAATTAGCAGATCCTTATATAAGCATATTCAGATTGTATTTAAACTGGTAACATTTTACTAAATGAGACTATACCATATACTATCAGAATATTATCTGATATGAAAAAGTTAACTTTAATGCGTCAGCACTCATCAACGATACTTGGTACATCAGTGATGTACCAAGTATCATTGATTCACAACTTTGTTTGGCAGAAAATGTTGTATCACTTAACAATCAGTCACACAAAATGTGATCTTATCATTTTAAACTTATTTGATTTATATGTGAAGAGATTTAGTTCTCGTGTACCTTTTTGAAACGTTTTTAAATTCTACTCTTTGTCAGTCTGTGCCTTGGTTCTGTTAAACTCTCGTCATGACTCTGAAAGCTCTCTATGCTCTGATTTTTATTTTTCAATAAATTCTCAATTTATAAACGTGCCACATTTATAAAACTTAATCTCCTTTAATGCACGTACTGTTCCTGGCGCTGAGGTGTTTTGAAGAATGGACTGGCCTGCTGTTGCAGTGTACCTTAGGATAAATGAGCCCTGGCCCACCAAGAGGGCCTAAGCGGTGGCGGTCCCGCTGGCCTTCCCACACTCCCCTTTAGGACTTGATCCACAGCTCAGCACAGCAGCCTAGATTAGCCCCACGCACCTTTGTGGAGGGAAAGATTATCCAGACCTCCCTGCATTCACTGACAGGTTTTAAGTCACTCTAGCGTGCCAGCAGCCACCCGTCACCTAATCACACTCTCCTACTCATTTTTTTGTAATTAAGCAGCTTTTCTCTTCCTGGTGCTCAGTGTTAGAGGAGTTTGTCGTAGTCTCGTCAGAGCAATATTTATATTTATTTTGATTGATCAAATTCGGTAATATTGGATGACTTTCACCAACACGACTCTCTGGATAAATGCACCAACACGTGGGCTTAGGCTTAACAACTAAAGGAAAAGTATAAATGTGTTGGGAGTGAAAGATTTTCTTACAACTCCAGTTTGACTCTGTTCTTTCTATAATCACCTGGATTGCCACAGAAATGTAACGTCTACTGATGATTTAGGACTTTACTGCTGTGGTCGGTGGAAGGTGTGCGCATATCTATTGGCTGCGTTTGAATATTCTGGCAGTTAGGCCATCTGAGTTGGGCTCCCCACCACACCACCCCCACACCCCCTCGCTGTCCCCCTGCTGAGTGCCCAAAGGGCCTCTCTCTCTCTCTCTCCTGTCATGTGGAGCTCTGTGCCCACTCAGCAAGTGCAGGCATATCCCACTTCCATCTGCCTATGACCTCACAGCCCCAGTTTGTTTAACCCCCTCTCCAAAAACTAACCTAATTATAGCCCTGTAAAACATGGCTTCAGCAGATTCCCAGTGGATTCTGCCACTCTGCGTCTGTGCACACCTATCAGTCTGCCAACACAGACTCTTGACTTGACAGCGGCAGCTCCATTAGCCATGTTTCTGTCAGTCCTGTTTTTCTTAGGTCTCTCCCCATATTATGTCAGAACATGCCCTGTCAGTTGCACATTTTATGAAAAGTATATAGGTAAAAGATGGCCAAACCAATAGGAGTGTGCTTTACCTGTCCTTTTTACGTCAATGTGATGAGTGGAAAATCTGTTTGTGACATCACGTTTCCTGCTTGACTGGCTGGGCAGCTTCCAACAAGAACACACCTTCTGAGCACGCTCTCAAATCTTTAAATAATCTCAGACTCAAATCTGAAGCCTCCTCTAATACACAGATCAGACATCAGCTAAGAATGCAGTTTGAATGTAATGGATGAGTGGATGAGTGCTATCCCTATGCCGTGCATTCATCGATGTGTGAAGGCCTTTGCGCCTATGACAGATTCAGACTGTGCCCATTTACTGTGTCTAGTAAATCCAGGAGACCCGTTTGATCTGAGCCTGGAGAGGCCTATAGGGTGGCCTGTCCAGTTTGGGGAGGCCTTGTCCGGAGTGGTGGGACCTGTGTGAGGTAATGAGATTGACAGCAAAGTGCTGTGTGTGTGTGTGTAGAGGTGAAGGGGGTTGGGGATGAGGTTAATCTCTCTGAACTGGGGCAGATGTTGTTAACGAGCTCCTCTCAGGTCGACTCCCTGCGTGGGAAAATGGCATCAAATCCTCCTGGGGTCAGGGCTTCTGGGCTGACCCACAGAGAGCCACCCCTCTCCACTGCACCGTCCTCTCCATTCACTCACCCACTCAACTCACACATTTGACAGCCCTCACCAGACACAGCACAAAGTCACATTTTATCTTCTTCTTCTTATTATCACGATTTTATTTTTCCCCACGTCTCTTCTTTCAGCAGTGTAGGTTCAGGACCTCACATGAACCTATGTGAACACTGACGGACTAGTTGCGTGAGTGATGCAAATGTTTCATTAATGATAGCTGTGGTTGAATCATTATACATTACACAACCGCAAGGAATGCTGAGTGGGAAATGCTTCAAAGACAAGCATGCCGCCATTCAAGAAACTGCATCCGCCCAGCAGGGAGTTACCTGCGTTAAGACCAAAGAAAGTATTAGTAGAATTACAGCCTTTATAGACTTTCAGGCACCAAAGGTAAAGCAAACTATAGAGTAGTGCACGTAGATACATTCATAATATAAATAATTGATCTCTAATTGTGTTTTCTCAGTTTCTAATTGTGTTTTCTTGACCTTCTTTGCTTCTGTGGATTTCTATAAACACCTAAGTTAAAAAAGAAATCACATTTACTTTTCAGATATTATTGTTTCTACTTTTAGGGAATCTGTTTTTTTACATAACTGCAGTTAAACAAAAGGGAAACTACTGAGCCATGTGTGCAGGATTGACCTATGTACAGACTGAATGCCCTGTAAACAAGTTAGCTGTGATGTGGCTACTGCTCATCAGTCATCTCCAGAATGGGCACGTCCCTGTACAATATCATGTCAACATGCCTGCTTTAGCGTTTATCCGGACTTAGCTTCTAATGCGAGGGTCATCCATTAAGGTGTCTGACTCTGAAGGTGTGTTTACTCTGCCCCAGCAGGTGTGTGTGAATATGAAACTTGTCAAATATAAGACGGGATTACCGCCGCTTTTGTCCCAAACAAAACAAATACAAATCACGCGAACAGCTGAAATGGGAGGAATCTGTTTTTTTTTTTCTTTTTGTATGTTTGGAGAGTTTTTCTGATGAGAGCCCTTTGATATTTTGTTCAGCTAAGCACTGCTGAGCTTTACTTGAACTTGTTTTCGCTTGTAATTGTGGTCGGAGGAAAATGCAAAACCACACACACACAAAGCACACAACCCAGAATGAAACAGGATTAAGAGGCTTCTTCCTGAATAACCTGTAATGACAATTACATACAAACGGCTGGTTCTAATGTATGTTCAGGAAAGCTCAGGAAACCAAGAGAGTCACTGTAGTGTAAAAGTGCATCAGCTGCAGATGGTCTCTTTCTATAGCACGCTTTACTTTGTCTATGAACACTGGAGCATGTAGTGTTGCTTCTTATTCGCCAAACTGGAATCTGACCCCGCTTTTGACCTGTCTTAGAAGCTCGGAAAAATCGGGCCAAGTGTATGTGAGCTGATGAATATAGTACGCCTAAGGACAGCAAAGTGAGTATGAGACGCTGCAAGACAATATAGAGTCAGGGGAACAAGGACTTCAGGGGATGCAAGGCAGAAGATTAGGCTGCTCATCTAGGCCAGTGATATTGATTATTTTCTTAAGGACAGTGAGATAAAACACAGATTGACAGACACACAATAGTACTGTGGCGAATCTGCTCCATCAAAATCTGCCGATCATATCACTAATGTCAAGAACTCTGAACATTCGGTAACTTGTTCCAGTGTAAAACCCCAAAAAATGCTGAAAGCCAAGTAACTGCAGTTGGATGCAAACAAAACACATCAGGACATTCTGTTTCCTGGAAGAAATGACCCGGTTGCGAGCACTTTGTCTTTTAGAGTGTGTGTGTGTGCAGTTTATGGGGGTGTAAGCCTGGGAACATGGGGGAGGTGGCACACACTCGGCTACGGGTCAGTCCTGACTGACTGTCACTTATTGATTAGTTGCCATGGAGAGTTAGTCAGGCCATCTCTCTTGGAGGTGTGTCCCTGAGGGCCAGCAGCACTGCCCAGATGAGCCTGTGAAGGCTTTGTCTGCAGGGGGTTGAAAGTGTTTGTGTGTGTGTCCGTGCGTGCATGCACATCTTACGTACACTCTCACTCACGGTTCACCCCTCCTCCTTTTGACCCCCCGCGGGCACTTTAACTTACACTTTTTTTTTCTCCTGTGTGGACAAACTCCCAACTAATCTGCGAAATCTCTGAGAAAATGTATCACTGTTTATGCTTCCACCTCCTCCCAAGGGACTCGCTATAAAGGGAATTGTAAACAAATTGTTCAAACTTACTGAGCTGTGAAATCCCTACATATCCCATTCTCATGTGATCTCCACCTCTCTGTTTTTGTATTGTAATTTTTTCTATCGAAACATAGGAAGAAAGAGTAATCGCACTCCATCTCTGTGGAGTGTTTCCTCCACAGAGATGGAGATTCTGGACTTGGTGGTGCAGGAGGTGGCAAACGACTCCAGTGACAGCCCAGTGGGGGATGGTGATGGTGCTGGACTTTACACCTTTTGGAAATTCTTAGTAGATTCAGGTCTACAGGGAGAGAAGAGGAAAATAGTAGAAACAAGGTGGAGGATGAGAGATAAAGAGGCAGAAAGATAAGGCAACTATCTGTGCTTTACAGTGTCATGGGTTCTACTGTACATGTCTGCACTGTTCTTATTATTCTAGAGGAGTTTTCACCAGCAAAGGTGAACGCGAGAAAGGAAATGTTTGATGCAGATGGATCAGGAATTTAAATGGTCTTCATCCTGCCCACTCACTGAACACTGGCAGCCTAAACCAAACTGAAGAAGGGAGAAACTGACCTATATTCTGGTGTGCGATATAAGTTATTTACGAGTAAGTTTGTGTGCAATAAGTGTCCTGAGAACAATGTTTATCATGAACACCCACCCTTTACCTTCATGTTCCTACCATTAATTAGCTTTGCTCTCCTGCAGCTTCTTCTTCATGGGTTTTTTTTTTGAGGATTTCTTGCCCATTAGTGAAAATGAAACGTGTCTTTGATTGGCTTTGATTTTGTTACAATTTTCCACTTCTAATCAATACTTTGTAATGTGAGCCAGCGAACTGATGGACATAGAGTAGAAGATTTACCGCTGCAGAAACTATTTTGAATGTTTTAATTATTATACATTTTTTATTTTAAACATAAGAACGTACCTAAAGCACTCTGACCATGATGACGTCATTGTAAGTATTGCAGATTTGTCATGTACATTTTGATGTTTAAATGGTAGTAGCATACTCTAATACATAATTTCCTCTGAACAAAAGTTTCAAAATGAATTAATCAGAACTGACAGACAAGGACCGTCTGAATAAATGTCATTTCTTTGCATAAAAAATGATGGATAATAATAAATAACGTTTTAATTTTAAAAAATCTGTCATACAAGAAGGAAACAAACAAATAAAACTTTTAATAACAGTCTATTTCTAGAAAATATAAAGGGTCCTAATGGGGTCCCATTGAGGATTAAAGTGAAGTATAATTGTTTAGTGGCATGATGACATTGCTTTGGGCATTTTATATTTTAAAAGTTGTAAAATTATATTATATATAATTGCTGAGGGTAGAACTCATTAAAGTCACACAACATTCAGCAAACTTATTTGAAAAGAAAAGA